ATGTTTTCTCAATATTCAATTGCTTTTATATATAAAGCTCTTTCTTATACACATTAAAAAAAAAAAAAGGAAAAGATAGCGTAAGTGTCTGCAATTTTGCCTACTAGGACTCTGTTGTAAACGCACCAGTCTTAAAAACATTATTCAGTCCTATAACCCAAAATTCTGATAAGAGTAAGGAAATCACAGACATTCAGAAATGATGATGTAGACGTAACAAGTGATTATAAAGAATTTAAACTAAATCACAAACTAAAACGAAATTTCATAAGTACTCAAGTCTTTATTGAAATAAGAAGTTTCATTAACCCTTAATAAATTATTCTTAAAAAACCAATATTATGTTACACATTTTAAAAAGTTAGAATAGTTGAGACACACCAGATTCCTCACCAAATATGCCGTTGTAAAATTTAGTTTGAGAATATTGTTCCACTTTTAACTAAGCATGCCTTTCTTCTCATCTCTATTTAGAAAAGACCTACTCATTCTTTAAAACCATCTAATATTTCTCTCCCAGATCCTTCCACAATTCTTCCTCTAAGCTCTCATAAAATATGGCACCTATTTTCACTAAAGTTAATTGAGTACCGTACTTCTTGACTCTTACACTGATTATTAAGTCTTTGAGGGCAGAAAATATATTTGCTTCTTCTTTGTTTCTCATAGAGCACACAGCAATAGCTACATAAGACTCAAAGATAATACTCAGGGTTATGGGATTTATTAGGGATGTCCAATTCAAGAACAGAAATACTCGGGATACAGATCTTCACTTATGACAGCCTCTTTTCAGCCCTGCTAAAGCCTTCTCTTGGTCCTCAGCCTCTCACTCATTCCAAATCTTCATCTGCCCTGCTTGAGGAAGTGGTAAAAAATTCTTTTAGCTTTGCTAATAAATGCCCAGAGGCACTCAACTCTGACAGTAAAATTTGGATCAAAGCCCCATCCTATGGAGCAGGGAAGCCCACCATGCCATTTCCTGCCAGTATCCTGGTTCTTTTACTTCCACCTCCAGTGTCACAATTCTTTGTCTCCTGGTTTGAGGAGATTCAGCACCAGGATCTTGAAGTTATGCTCTGCTCTTGGCCCTTCTATCTTGATGGTAGCAAGATTGTTTCTACTTCTGAAATGGCTCATTTTAAACCTACTGGATGGCAAAACCAACCAATCCCCATATGATGGTTCTATACATCTGAGTTAGTTAATTGTGCCAGCCTGGCCGATAATCACATATGGGGCTAATTGAAAGGTGGAGGGATAAATAGGTGGTGAGCCTCGCCTTTCTAGTTCTCGGGTCTCTTGCTTTGTGATGGTTGTATCGGGTGCAGCTGCCTTAGCAGTTCCCTGCTTCAGCTTGCAAGATTGATTTCCTACAAGACATCCCCAAGGAGAAGCCGCATGGATCTATCCCGATGCAGCCCTGGGTGCTGGAGCAGCCGTGTGGAGACCCTTGCCAGTGCTGAGATGCTTACATGTTCACTGACTCAGCTTTCCTCCTGCAGTCGGCATTATTGCCTCTGTTTTGTGAGGTGAAGGACTTTGTGGACTGGTGTTGGGGGTATGGGTTAATGTTGGACTTGTGGGCTTGGGCAGCATTGGGTTGGGATGTTTTCGTGATGCACATTTTCTTTGCATAAAACTCTCTCTAATACATGAGTTGCTGTGGATTTGTTTCTCCAAAGTACCTAGACTAATACAACATCTCATCTGTATTAGCAGCAAGCTATTCAATACCCTTAATGGGTTACAAACAGCTCCTATTTGCTAGTCTTACCCAGTAGTTACTCTTACTCTTAAGTAATTCTTACTCTTAAGAATTACAAAGACTATGGCTAAAAAGAACCACATCAAGTAATTCACTGAAACACAACTTTCCAACACATTCTTCCTAAGGGTAAAATTGCCTATTGCTGGTTAATTGTCAGAAAGAATTCAAATGCAGTTTGAACTTATATCAAAACTCAAACTGGGGTTAGGGTTCTCACTGAAGACTCCAGTCTTCCACAAAACAAATGACATAATTTAAACTCTAATACAAAAAGTAAATATTGCTTCAGTCATACAATTAATTTCTCATAGCCTTTTTATACCCTATGGGCTACCCAAAAGGGCAATATAAAATGAGGTGTTTTTCAAAACAAGAATACATTTTGAAAAATTCACAGTGGAATTAGTGCTTCAATGATCTTGTAGTTAAACTCCACAACCACCAAACAAAGCCTTTTCATATCCTCTCAAACTAGACCTGGCATATACAATCCAATGAGGCAGAAGCGGCTGCATGATTTCCCAAGGTAGTCATAACACAACTTCTGCTTAGGTCTCTGGGAATGCTCAGTCTGGGTGAAGACGGCCACCATGTAAGAATTCAGACTACCTTGAGACTATCATGCTGTGAGGAACCCCGAACAAGCTATACATTGTGAGTGATGTGGAACAAGATGTCCAGCCAGTCCCCAGTCATTTTGGTCATCCTAGCGCAGGTGCTATATATGTGAGAAAGTATCTTGCCCATTACAACCCAGCAGATGCCACGCAGAGCGAACAAGCTATACATTGTGAGTGATGTGGAACAAGATGTCCAGCCAGTCCCCAGTCATTTTGGTCATCCTAGCGCAGGTGCTATATATGTGAGAAAGTATCGTGCCCATTACAACCCAGCAGATGCCACGCAGAGAACCAAAGAATCCAACTGGGGTAGCCATACCTGTCAATCAGGTCACAGCCTGATGCCGTTTCCTTGGGGCTGTGGCCTTCTATAAGGAGGGCCCTGGGAACCTCCCCTCCTGCCACTGACCCTGGGAGCTGTCAGAACCCTGCCATGTTTCCATTGACCTTGGAGTCACATAACTTTGCCCCCCAGAGGCCTGTGATTTTTCTGCACTCTGCATTTTCGTATGTGGCTGCATGAGTCTGAAGAGGGACTTATGGACTAGAGGAGGAAAGCTCTTTCTTTTTTAAATACTGAAAAAGTTTATATTTAGCATTGGCCAGCTCGGCTCACTTTAGATGATTCCAATTTTGTTGGCAACATCTAAAGCGTCAGTCAGGAGCCAGTCGAACATATGCCTTCTTCTCACCATCAAGCCTGATCAAGGTGTTGACCTTGGCTACGTCAATGTCATAAAGCTTTTTCACAGCCTGTTTGATCTGGTGTTTGTTTTGATCTGGCTTTGACATCCACGATGAACACAAGTGTGTTGTTATCTTCGATCTTCTTCATGGCAGACTCTGTGGTCAAGGGGAACTTGATGATGGCATAATAGTCCAGCTTATTTCTCCTTCCGAGGGTATTTGGGCTGCCTTCTTAGTCTCAGGGTCTTGGGCCACTGGAAGGTGGTTGACGTGCGGATCTTCTTTTTTTGTGGCTGTGGACGCCTTTCAGGACAGCCTTCTTGGCTTTTAAAGCCTTTGCTTTGGCTTCCGTTTGGGGAGGGGCAGGAGCTTCCTTCTTCGCCTCTGGCGCCATATACATAGATGAGTGGCACTAGAGCTTGTTTCTCTCGTGAACCTGGTGGAACATGCCAACCAGCAGCCATCTGAACTGTCCTAATCATCTCTAACTACTTGAATTACCCATCTTTGGTACCAGATAGCAAACTCCACTGGTGGCACACTTTTCAATATCTGACACATAATATTTGCTTGATGTCATTAAGTTTTAGGGTGGTTTGTTACATAGCAATGGAGAGCCAGAACAAATTATAAAGCTTTTCCTTTCCATTCCTTACCACTAAACTAACCATGCCATCATGTGACGAGTGGATTGCCCTTCCCCATCCAATCTCGCCCTAACTTTAAAAAACATTGAGGTAATTTATCTACTCAAAACACTGTATAATCATGCAATTAACCCAATAATATTAAGAATAAATCGCTTCTCAAAATTTCCCTATGATTCTCTACCACTCTTAATTTTCCACAATCCTAGCAACCACCATCCCCCATACTAACCCTTCCACTCCAATCAATCTATCCTGTTCATACTATTCTGAACACAAGTTGCTTATTTTTGACTACCACCAAACAAAAATCCCACTGCCTTCAAGTTGATTCCAACTCATAGCAACCCTATCTAGGGTTCCCCAGGCTGGAAACCTTTATGGGAATGGACAACCTCATCGAACTCCTAGAAGAGGTCAGTGGGTCTCCACCATCTCTGGAGCTGCAGTCCTACACTTGCCGGAACTACCACCTGGGCTCCTTTCCTGCTACCCCCATTCTCCTTAATTGAAACATCATCTCCTCTACTCTGATAACCCAAATTCCTTTTTTTTAATCATTTACTCTTAAGTACAGCACTTATCACAAGCCATCCATCCATTGTGTCAAGCACATTTGTACATTTGTTGCCATCATCATTTCCAAAACATTTTCTTTCTACTTGAGCCCTTGGTATCAGCTCTGCATTTTTCCCCCATCCTTAACCCCCCTCCCTCCCTCACCCTTGATAATCTATAAATTATTATTATTTTGTCATGTGTTACACTGACTGATGTCTCCCTTCACCCACTTTTCTGTTGTCCGTCCACCAGGGAGGGGGTCTGATGACCCAAATTCTTAATAAACTTCCTTGGTCACATTAATTCAGAGTCATATCTTTCTTCTTTGAGTAAGTATCATATGCTTAGCATTTAATCATATACGTTTCCCACTGTCATTGAGTTGACCCCAATTCATGGCAGCCTCATGTATCCCAGCAGAACTGTGCTCCACAGGGGTATGTGGTTTTTCAGAAGTAGATCATCAGACCTTGCTCCTAAGACATCGCCAACCTTTTGATTAGCAGCCGGGTACATTTAGTGTTTTCACTACCCAAGAATTATGCATATATGTATTTATACTGTTGGCTGCCATGCATTCCAACTCAGAGCAACTTCATGTGCCCAGAGTAAATCTGCTCTTGGGTTTTTAAGGCTCTAACCTTCTGGAAGCAGATTGCCAGTCCTGTCTTCTGAGGCGCTCAACGGTGAGTTCAAACCTCCACTCGTTTGCTTAGTAACCAAGTGCTTAAAACCTGTCCCGTCTTACACCATGGTAGATTGTGACAAACAGCACATGAGTAAAAAGTTCTAGACTATACCAAATAAGCTGCAACAAGTTTGGGCAAATGCATGGCTCTTCTATAACCCTGCCGCAAGAACTTATTTAAGGCAACCTGCAAACCGTATCCCCAGTTGATCCATCGTTATCCAAGCATCAGATATTAGAGAAAGCCAATAAAAAGCAAACGATAACAAAGGGAAAACATATTTCAATCAACACTCACATACGCGGGGATTTGCGAACTATCCGTCGAGGCAGGTTCCACCCATGCCCCCACTGGCACTATGGCCTGGTTCCTCTCAGCAAGCACTGTCAAGATGTCCTTACTCTTCAGGGGGTTCAAAGCCAGGGGCAGCCTTGGGGTATGTCGAGGATTCTTGAGGGGCGCCATCACCACTGGCATTTGACTCCTAGTTGGGAGAAAAGAAAAGTTAAGCCAAAACTCTAAAAAACCAATTAAACCATGAACTACACGGCCCAGAAAGGGGGAATAAGCTTGGGGGCTGGAAGGGGAATAAGCCTAGCTCCAGAGAATCAAAGAACAAGGGTTCTGGTGTAAAGAGATGAAGATTTTTGTAACGGGAAGAAATAAAGAGGGAATTAAAGGCTGACTCCTGGAAGGAATGGGGACGAGACAGAAAAATACACCGGACTGCGAGTGAGAAGCTGCACACGGTGGTGGGCACATGGACGTAGGAAATTTCAGGAGCAACACTACTAACATCCGGAGGGCAAACCGGGAACCTGGATTCAAATCCTCGGAAGCCGGTTAGAGCAGGAAATGCCGTGCGGCCAGGAGCCCGGGGCCTTCGGAGGTGCAGGGTCCCGCCGCCGCGGAGAGAACAACTGGCCGCAGCACCGCGGCCGGCCGCGGGCAGGCTGCTAAGCAAACCGCCGTATGTAAACCGCCACTTTCCCGCTCGGCCGCCATGCCCCGCCCAGCGTGGCCTGGGCCCGCCCCTTCCGGGCCCCGTCTGACCCCCAGGGCCGGAGCGGCGTCAGGGGCGGGGTTTACGCGCCGGAAGTTCGTTATCCCCGCTTCGGAAGGAGGAAGTGCGGAGCCCTTACGAACGCGACTGGTGAGACGCTGCTTTGGGCTGCGTTGGGCTGCTGGCCCAAGATTCGGTGTATCTCTGAGCGGAGCCTGGAGCAGAAATCATCAACCCACTGCTACAGAATGGACTCCGAGTCGTTGCGACCTGTTATAGATTGGCCGAGACTAAATCTTTGCGGGAGCAGCCAGCGTCATCATTCGCCCAATGTGTGGCTGGTGGATTTGAACCTCAGTCTTGCAGCCCAATGTCTAGACCATGGGCTGAAAGGAAACAAGATCCTTTGCATTGAAGATCTGACTGACCGAACTGAAGCACTGGAAAGGGTTGGAGGAGGAAAGCAGGCAAGCCTGTTGGGGGATTCCTTGTGAGGAACAAATTATGCCAACAATAAATCACGTTGATCCTTTTTACGACATAAGTTTTCAGATCCATTTTTCACATGTATTTCAACACTACAGCCTCATGCGAGTGGCCACCTTTTGCTCCAAGGCTTGCTGTAATCCTAGGACACTTCATAACCCTCTCCCCCACTCCTTTTTTTTTTCTCTTTTCTTCTTGTAAGATATTATTTTCCCCTTCACACCAAGTTAGGACCTGTGTACCTTCTAGCCAGGGAGTCTTGGTGGCATAGTGGGGTACGCCTTCAGCTACTAACCCCACGATCAGTAATCATACTACCAACAGCCTGGGGGAAGGGGGAGGGTCAGAGGGGAGATGTAGCTGGTCTATTTCCTGGAGACCCAAATCGAGCACTATCTTAGTCAGGGTTCCCTAGAAAAACAGAACCAGAGTAAGAGAAAGGAATATTTTTTAAATCATGTTATTGGGGGTTCATACAACTCTTATCACAATCCATACATCCATCCATTGTGTCAAGCACATTTGTACATTTGGTGCCCTCATCATTCTCAAAACATTTGCTTTCTACTTGAGCCCTTTGTATCAGCTCCTCATTTTTTTAATTGGGCTAGTCTGGCAAGTCCAGAATTCATAGGTCAGGTGAAAGGCTGATGATTCTTACAGGGAAGAATAAAGAGGGGTTATGACCCCCCCAAAAGTCTATAGTTGAGGTAGAATATACCCAAGGGGAACTCCCATTTTTTCCTCAGGACTATCAACTGATTGGTAGAAGCCATATATATTATTAAAGGTAAGCTGCTCTATTTAAGGCCAACTGATAAAACTGCATATAACTACTACACAACAACTAGAATAGTGTATGCTCAAACAGCTAGGTACCCTAGCCTTGCCAAGTTGGCACATAAAATTAACCATTACCCTGAGTGTTGCTGGGACTCAGGAACTGGAGGCCCGGGCAGTTGCTAACTCAAGTAACTCCTGGTATTTGGAATCCATAAACTTCTTATCCCTATTGTTTTCATTTTCAAAGAGATCTGCAGCATCTCTATGACCTAATCTGGACCACATTTTAAAGTCTTTTTTCTATTCCCTATTGACACTGTAGAGCCTTTGAATTTAACCCAATCTCATGGTTTCCCACCTGTAGACTTTCTGTATATGAGCCAATATATTTCTTTACAATGCATTTTTGCATTATGTTTTCTATTGTTTATAAAATATATAGAGTCCTGAGATTAGGAAAACAGAGGCAGTTGATAGGTAAGAAAAATGGAGCAAACAAATAAAAAACAACCAGAGAAACCTAGGAAAACTAGTTCCAGGAGGTGCCTAAGTATCTGTGCTTTCCAAAGCCAGTTCCAAGTCTTCAGTAAACATGCCTCTCCTCTTCTGGTAACCTCACTGGGATCTCTGTTCTTCAAAGCTCAAGAAGTTTGGCTAAGGTAACAGCCTTTAAAACAAACCTATATTTGGCCAAAATGATTTTATTTATCTTTACTAACTACATTATTGTGATAAAGTAAAATTACTTGTGTTGGCTCGTCTGTCCATGTCTTTATAACTCCCACCAAATGATGGAGCAGGGCCATGAAAATAGGGTGTGTGAAACATTATTGGAAGATTGGTCAGTTTTGCCATTTCACTGGGTATGTAAGAGTGAGTCCTCTTTGACACAGGGAAAATAATCCCAGGACCATCAAGAAAGAATAGCCACCAGCTGGGCACATGTGAGATCCCTGCTGAATTGGCAGAGACAGCAAGGGCACCAATGGGAGCAGCACTGAGATCATGAGAGAGCACAAAGAAACAGCATCAAAACAAGGCAGAGGGAGACCCATGGAACAAGGCAGAAGACAAGAGACCATGTAACTGAGAGGTCAAGGACCAGAGAGAGACATGCCTGCCACCATGGATGAGAAGAGGTGCTGCAGACAAAAGAACTGTATCCTTACCATTTTGTAAACTGTTAGCTTCCCCAGTAAACCTCATAAGCCTGAGTATTGTCTGTGAGTTCTATGTGGCTTGTGCAACAAATTCCCTAACCCAGCAGAGAAATAGAATGGCTTGGGAGGGATAATTGGTTTCAGAACAGGGTAAAGAAGGAAGCAGGATGAAAGCATCTCCAACCTCTACCTTGTAACAAATGGTCTTGTGTTGGTGTGGAGTTGGATTCTCTTCCTTTGTACCCACAGGGCATCAGATGTGGCCCCACACCATTTCCTCAATTATTCACCACACTTTTGACTTTAAAAAGTGTACTTCTAAACAGTAAGAATTTCAAAAGAGAAAGTTCTAAAATATTTTGTAGGAAAAGTAACAAGGCAATCATGACAACTAGATAGCTAAGTTAAAAACAAGTCACTCATTTTTCTCCAACCATTTATTTGCATATAATTTACATATACCAAGTCATTCATTTTTGTGTGTTCTGCTTGTTTGTTAAAATTATCTACTATAGCCCCTCCCCTGAGAAGAATTTATTTCAGAGACAGCACTGAATCCGCAGCTCAGGGAGAGGGACTTGTCTGATCAGAGCACCCGGGAGCAAATGAA